CGAGTACTAACTGCAACTGTGTAGCCCAGGATTGAAGGGGTGAGGTTGACTGTAGCCGGCTGGTGGGAGCATCCCAGCAAAAATACTGGCGTGGGATCTTCACATCAATTTCTCGACGGTCTTGTAAATGTTACATATTGTTATCGAAATAGTGCGCACTTTGGCATTCGTTCACAATAAGTTTTGTCTTGCGAGACACTTACGCAGCCACAGCATAAGAATTAAAATACTTTAAGAAGGATGGACAACTTCCCGGGACTTGTTGTAAAACCAGATTAGTCTGCCCACACTTTTGATCTTTTGCTGTCATGGTACTTGCGGAGTTTTTTTTTTTAAGTTTACTAATGCAAAAATACACTTCATTTTAAAAAATTCAATGAATAATTGATCGCATTAAAGCTATTGTTGCTGTTGCTGTGGCTTTTGGAGGTGGCTATTCTGGAATGCAATGGCGCCATCCCATCAAGCAATAACACGAAAATCGTTATACGGCGATTGTCGGGCAGTGCGGCTGCTCCACCTAGCAATGGTACTACCACTGCGATCAGGAAAAGAATTGCTGGCGACGCGAAAACAGCTGCCAATGCAGTCGGACGGCCAAAAGCTGCTGGTCTGGCTACCAATATCGGAGCCCCACCAATCAGCTACGCGAACAAATTAAGTGCTATTGGTGCAACAAAGTAAGTTAATCCTGTAGCCTAGCTGGGACTTTTTTTATGGGAAGATGAAGGAGGTCGATAAGGTCCGAGGAAAAGAACAACACTGAGGAATTCTTAAGTGGCTTGCGAATAGCAAAAAAACGCTTTTCTCCTAAAGAAATTTTTTCAAATTTCTGAAAGTTGGGGAATTCTACAAGCGGAATTATTTCTGGCACCATCGGTGGTGCTCTTTCGATGGTATCAAAAATCACCTAATGCGTACTCGAATAAATGCCAACTTACATGTATGCGAAGAGGACTTCTTACTAGAATCCCTGCAGATACTAATGAGAGTTTCACTTTTCGCTTTGGGCAAAAAATGAGAGACATGCACGGATTCCTCGATTTCGCTAACTTAATAAGTTACTTGAGAAATTTGAAAAACTTGCATAATTTGCCGGTAGTTATTATGCGTTTTTGCCGTGCAGCGCTACAGCGCTGCAACAGGCAGCAAAAACGCATATTGGAACGAC